TACCCTATTATTACGATAGGCGCGGGGCAGATCGAAGGTCGCAGCGAAGGAGTGACAGCGGGGGAGGGGGGGCGAGGGAGAGCTGTGTGAACAGGGGTGCGACTGTGAGGTTGTGGGGAGAGACACGAGCCCAATAGAGCCGCTCCCGTGTTCCATGGACCGAAAACGAAGTTTTTTTGACCGCTGTCTCGTCAAATTTAACCATATCTTTGTCACCGGCGATCACTCGGGATCTCCACAATGTCCACTAAGGTGCCTACGCTTTCTCTCGACGGGACCCCACCACCACCCCACGACGAAGCACCTACCCAGCATTACACCACTTATCGCGTTGGGGGTCAGTCGAATGCGGCGCCCCCGAAAAAGAAGCGGACAAAATGAAACAAAACTCCCGGCCGGAAGTGCGGCTCTTTTTAAGCCCTTGTCGGTCGACAGGGAACCTCCCCCCACGGTACTTGTGACCTCTATGATACCTCACGGTACGCCTCGGTTGGAGCGATTGGCTTGTATCGAGCACTTTTGGCCTTGTCCTCCCATTCGATTGCCGCCCTGATACCTGAATCGTGTACTGCAAAGGGACTCCGAGGAGCATTTGGTTCATGGGGTGGAAGCCGCCTAAGACCTGCCCTGAAGGAAAGTAAGGGCTGCTAGAGTACCGTAGGGTTGGAGGCGAACCAGAGGAATTCTATCAGTCAGGGAGCCCGCGCAGATTAACGTCGACCACGCGGTGCTGAGCAAAATGGTGTTGGCCATTCTCTTTTTTAGGGGTGGATGGTTCGTCTACTGATAGAAAATGGACAAAAAAAAAGCAGGATCAGTTATGCGCCGGCTCTCATTCCACAATCATGGAAACCTCTAGCCCCCCAATAAAACCGTCTTGTGTCACAGAAATTTACTGCGCAAACGAGAACGGTGGGTCCAGTCAGCCTGGGACTGCGGCTCAAAGATCGGAGGAATCATATAACTATGATAGCTTATCGGCAGGCTGGATTAATCCTTGCTGATGATGTCTCTTGGCGTACAGCCAACAAAGCAACGGTGCGCAATCAATGTACTCGAGTAACGCTGAATGTCCGAGAACTTGATAAACGACGAGTGACGCGCACATCTCCCCGAGAGAGGGGAGCGGTAGGTGCTCATGACGCCGGAGGAGAACGGTATATTCCGACGAGCATCCATAAAGCGCAGATAAACAGAATCAGGAGCTAGGGCCTGTGGACGATCCAAATCCGAGGAAGCGTGGGAGGGATCGGGGAAGGGAGTTGCAGTACTCGAGTACTACAAGTAGTATCCTACCGCGGGGCGTGCCGCTTCCCGGATCTTCAGGCACGTGTGTACTCGAGTACTTTGGGGACTACGATAAATCATGAGGCGTCACGTACTGTATCATAGCGGATACAGATTTAATGAGGATGACGCCAGTTGGGGGTTCATACGTAGATGAGAGCTTGACTTCACACCCACTAATCTCAATCAATTCAAATACCACAGGGCTTTGGAAGACAATTGACGTTCCACTCGCCCCGAACATCGCGAACCATTACATGCGGACGCACCACGGCGTAGCCGCCGGAGTCAACACGCCATCCGCCGATTCCCCAAGCTTCTACAGATGCGGTGGCAAAAAAAGAGCTCACCAACCCTTCCGACCCCTTCCCCCCGCGTGGGGCGTGATAGAGGACAGCCGAGGCACGAGTTCATATCCTACCCTCCCTCTCCTCCCCTCGTCTCCTGACCCCCGGATCATTAGCCCCCGATGCCCCCGTCCGTCCGCCGTGCCGCCGTGCCGCACACCGTGCCACCAGGTAATATGAACAAGAACAAGAAACCCGGACCTCTCTTGGTGCGAAAAAAAGAAAAGAAAGTTTCCTACGCCTCAGTCATTTTTCAGTATTCTGGTTGTTAGCTCTAGGACCGCTCTATCGGAGGGTGCCGGTACCGCAAGTGTCGTTCACGGCTCAACGATCGGTCAAGAAGAACGAGGGGGGAGGAGATAGACTAAACCCTTGCTCAAGCTCCTGTATCGTAGGGTACTTGTATGATAGGGTGCGGTACCGGCACTGTAGTCTATTTACTCGTATGATACTAATTGAACCTCACGCTAAGACATCCGGAGTTTCCCCCTTTGGATTTGGGGGGCAGAACCACGGCGAAAGGAACCGCCTTCCGGTTAGGGATTGGGATCGTATTTATATGGGTTTGTATGATGCCATATAATGCTGTATAAAAACCATATCACACATTGGGTTTAAATTCCATATCTTACCCGACACTCAAAGTTTTTATAATGTAAAACATTACAATTTTGGTATCGTAGGTTGGTTTACAGGTACTGCACAGTACAAGCTGGTCGGTATCCCATAAAATTAATTGGTTGGTATTCCCTTCAACATCCTAGTACTACCGTCCACGAAATCTAGATTCTGACAAGCTCCCCCAATTCCAGAATTACAGTTAGATTCATTCATATCCCAACCCCCGAAAGAGAGCTTTAATTATTATACTACAGTAGCTGGAAGCCCTGCTCATATATATGAATTGAAGGGCTTTCACTGTTCAGGGCTAGTATTTTAGGGTCCAGAATTTCTAGGGGATGTATGCGTGCTATTGTATAGCATCACAATAACATTATGAAAAGAGATAGTTGATATCATAACATGTGTGATACGGTGTATTTTTGTGCCATACCTATACGTATACGTATTTTTGGTATGTATGATACCCCTACTTCCAAACCCTGACCGAGACAAACAAAAGGTGAAAAGAAAAAATGATAATACTCACTGAACTTATGTACAGTGCTGCTAGAAGGAGCAATTTCCAACGTCTTAGGACCACATAATATGTTAGTCTGATCCTTTTTTCTGTTCCTGAGATTTCACAGTATGGCGAACAGGACACCTGTCTCCACAAGTGTGATATGATAATCGCAGAACGAAACCATTATTGCCCCCCATATTTGCTCATCGTGTTTACTTGTCCGCATCGTCCTGTTTTTTTAATTTTATTTCTTCCTTTCCTCTTTCCTTCTCGTATCACACAGCCGGGTTGAAGCCGGACACCCTGATCTGGGAGGGAATTCCCATATCATACATACGAATCACATACATACAGCGCAAGGGGTTCCTTCCTTCCAGCTTCAGCCCGGGCCTCACTTGGCGAAATCGGCCAATTCTGATTCTCCCCGACTGGTTCGTCTATCCACCTATCCATCTATAGTCTAATTACTAACTATCTTAACTTACTACCCTACCCGCCGACTAAATCTAAGGGCGAGACCCATCTCGTCCCGCGAATTATTCCTGGTTCTATTGGGAGAGCTTTCTTTCTGTGGTGGTACTTTGGCTGTGGGTCATATATATTCTACCCTCCCAAGTTTTCACCAGAAACCTCGAGAGCCGTCACGGCGGGAATCACCTCACCAAAACCGTGGTCAGCAAACATACCACAACGAAAGGGAGTATGATACGATGGAATAATATCACGCTGTTGGGTTCACTCTACTACATCACAATCTACTAAGCAGTCAGTCATATAATATTATTATTATAAGATAACCGCGGAGGATATATATATATATAAAAAGCACCCTAAGATCGGTGTTGCTAAATTGATATTTACCTCGCAGTTCTCTCTCCTACATACCCATCCTACATACCCATCCTACATATACCATACTATATATCATACAAAATAAGGATGAGGCAGCAACAAAACCCATATCCTCATTATTTAATATCTTATCATGAAACATTCCTTTCCCCCTTCCCCTCCTTCCTTCCTTCCTTCCTTCCTTCTCCTAGAGAATTACGCAACTATACGTGACTGGACCAGAGCATCCGTTTCTCCCCCGCATAATTATAATATGGGGTCGTTATCATTGACAACCCAAACTAAAGTTAGGGGAATACCAGGTAGGGCTACGGTATGATGCTCGAGTATCGTCCATAATGTTATATCATACAGTATTTCAAGTGGGGGACCCTAAGTCACAGGTATCAAGAGTGGTACCGTACGTACGAATTCCGGTAATGTAAACGTTACGAGTATAGTAGAACAGAACAGGACAGGACAGGACAGACACTCGTGGGCGAGCACGATGGATATATCGAAACGTATATTTATAATAGGATGGTAACCGCCCAGAGAAAGGAAGGGGGAGGGGGGAACTACTGCGTCGGTATCTAGTTGCGGATACGTACAGTACAGTATTATTATTTTTGTTGGATCCTTTGATTGTATAAGGTAGACTACAATACAGTATAGACTACAATCTCTGTATGCAACCGCTGGGTTGCGAAAATTTCAATTTGGGGGCAACTTAAAGGCATCATCAACCCTTCCTTCCGTAGATCCAAAAAAAAAAAAAACATCAGTGAAAGCAATTGAGATATTCTGGTAAAAGGGGGCATTCCCCTTCCTTGGAAAAATTGATCTTATGTATACTCGAGTACAGTGCAGTGCTGCACGTACATGTATATATATATATATATAGTCCACAAGTCACGACTCCGTGCAGACTACCCATGATAAACTTGTCCCCCTCCCGGTACAGTACTGCGAGGTCCAACTCCATATGTCCAATATCCATGACTTATCACATTGCAATAGCTTGGCAAATGGTACTGTACGAACCCTTGTGTGATCCATATTCATGCATCCGTCCTCCCTCTTTCCGGATAGCTAGATGTAAGATGCGTGATTTGATTAGGGTGTAGTACGTGGTGAGGGCGCTGGTGTTCGCATGTTTTACACGGGATAACTGCATCTTCGGCTCCATCTGGGCGCTTTTCTGCTTCGCTAGGGATGGGCGCAATTAGGGGGTTGACGTCCATTCCTCCCAGTTCCGGGAGATCTGGTGGGTGTCGGGTGGTGATGGGACCATATACCGGTATGCCATAAGTTACCGACGAGGTGTAGGCTGTTCCGTAGCTAGGTTCGTGCATCCACCCTGATCCCCTATGTCTGTCGACGGCAGCCTACTGTGTGCTCGGTCGCTAAGCTAGCTAGGGATTGAAGACGTTACGTTACATCAAGAGTTATAAGGGGATATCAGACTGTATCATACTAGCAAGGATAAGTGTATTCTAAAATGGCCGGTAAACACAGGAAGGGAAGGAAGGAAGGAATAATCGGGTAATAAAGAACGCCATTCGGCTTCTCCGGGATACAGCAGGGGATCAAGGGGAAAATATTTCAAGATCGGGCAAGGCACAATACAGATGCTATCTCCCCGTTTGTTTACTTCAGTGACGAAAAAAAAAAAAAAAAAAAAATAACTGCCTCGTCCGGGCACGGAGTTTGGGGGACAGCTCTCTTCCCTCCTACGCAATCTTTGCTCCACCGAGCAAGTCTGCGAGGGCATCGACCTTCTTGTCACCCTCCTGTGGAACTTTTGCGCTCTCCGCTTCCTCTGCCTGTTTGACGATGTCCTCCTTCTCGTCCACCTCTTCGTCTTCGTCGCCCTCGTCCTCCTCGTCGGTCTCCTCCTCCATATCGCTGAGGGAGTCTAGTTCGCCGAATCCTCTATCTTCAAAGATCTCGCGCATTTGCTCGACGACAAGCTCCTCCTCCGAGAACCTGTTTCCATTAAGCTCTAACCGTTGAAGTTTCGGGAGAGCAGTTTTGATGGCCCTTTTAATGGCCTCAACACCTTTAACGTCGATTTCATTATACTGAAGTCTGATAGTTTTGAGCGCTTTGTTTTTCTCCTGTGCCAATGCCTCGCCTAGCAATACTCCTCCACGCGCAGAAATTAGACAATCACCAACCCCTAGCTCTAGTAGGTCACCCCAGTTCGTTACAACGGCTGCCAAAGCCTGAGCTCCTGTGGCCGTGAACGTATTGTCCTGCAAGTCCAGGATTTGTAACCCATGATTCTTTGAGAGGCCATTTCTCAAAAGCGTGTTGATGCCCTCCTGCCTGATCCCGTTCTGCACCATCTTGACTGTCTTTAGCGACCTATGTGCAGCGTAAGCCTGCGCCCACGCTTCCATGGATCCGTTCTCAAGGCGGTTACGACCGCAAACAATAGTCTCAAGGGGAGGGTGTGCCGGTTTCGACGCTTTGAGAGCTGCAAGGTCACGGATTGAGTTGGCCACTATGATGCCACCGGCAGGACCAAGGCCATTGTTATTCAGCAAAAGGTGCCGTAATGGACCGGCCCGGGCGTAGAAATCCCTTAGAGTATCCGCAAGGCGGCCCCCGAAGGCGTTATCCGAGAGATCGACAGTGTGCAAATGCTCAAGGGTCAAGAGCGCTGTTAGTAGCGCCGCAAGGGCATCCGGAATCTCAGAGATAAGGCGGCCGGTAAAGATGTCGGCCGCATTGAAGACCTGTATGGATCATATGTCAGCTCCGTCACTTCAGCAGAGATAGGGCTACATACGTGCAGATTTTTGTTTGTTTTCAGGACCTCGGCGAGCGCTTTGCAGGCTTCGATTCCAAAAGTGTGACCACCGAGCCGGATTTCCTCCACCGTCTCATTGCCCTTGAGGGAAGCGATATGTGGTTCAATATCGGCCTATTACAAGGTAATACGTAAGCGTACAGCGTGGTTTTATGGCGATGGCAGGTTCTTGTAAACTTACGGCGGTGTCTAATTTGAGAGGCCTCCCATCGCTAGACTTGAGAATAAAAACCTTGTCGATCGTCATGCCGTCCAAGACTTGTCTGGCGAGAATTATGCGTCCTTAGCTAGGGGTACGGCAGGTCGGGGGGGAGAGGGGGGGAAGTGAAGGTTGGGTGTGTTGGAGGGGTTGGACCGGTAAAATGCTCAGGGGGGGGGTTTTTTTTTATTTTAAGTGGGGTCCGTGCACTGCTGGCGGTTTATAGGGGGAAACTTTTTTAGTATACGAGACCAACCATGCAGTTCCTGATCACCCTTAATATCGTGATATCGACAAACAAGGTCTTCAATATCCAAGAAACCATCATATTCCGGATCAAACAAATACAGGATACAGTGCTGGCATTCTCCCGGAACTTTAGTTGTCCCGGCGATATGTGACAGAACTGCCCGTCCTAATATCATGGTGATGCGGAATGGGTGTACCTCAACCTCCGAGGGACTCTTGTTTCATATGAGAAGAGCAACCATTCACAACGGGCTGGGAGCATCAAAATGCAAGCTCAGAGCCAATTGTGTGTATTTATCCTCCGTTCACCACCACTATCGGGCCCATAAGTAATGGCATGAAGGTCTCACAAAGGTTTCCTTACTGCAAACCCTTGTCACCGTGTCACGCCCAAAAATCACTCAACTGATCAAAGAATGATACTCCAAAGTGGCTCGAAGTGGTATTTTGAGGCCGTGAAGAGACTTCTGGAGTTAGTTTTTGAGCTCCCCACCAAAGGTTTCGTATGTATAGTACTCCCAAGTCATATAATTTCTTGTATGAGGCTGGCAAGAGATGTCTTTCCACCAAGTTGTAGGACATCGCGAAAGGGATAGCCTTTTCTACACAGCGACATAATGATTTCCCGCTAAGCTAGGTATGATATTTGGTAGGGAGGGTCCGAGTTTTGCTGGCATCGTATTTCTGTGCCCTGTAACCATGCCGAAGTACAAGTACTGGCATCCAGTCCATGATTGTCGCAATCCCCTGGCAACAGAACCCTGTTCCCGGCACCTCCCTTGAATGGAATACAAGTAAGTACTCGAGTACTCGTAATGTCCTGACGTTTGTGAACACGACCAATATTGCATGACGCCAAGATCCGGGCAAAAAAACTGAATTTTGGTGGTATGCAATAGCAGCTGTGTTCACAAACGTCAGAGTATAGAGAATGGCTGGGTAACAGGATTTAACGTATATAGTGGCGTTCCGCTTCCGGTTTGTGCATTTGCTCCTAATCCTCTAAACCCACCCACACACAGTTTTGCGAAAATGATGGCTTCCCGCATCACCCGTCTGGCACTTCTCCACCAACTCCGTATCACTCACCGCAGACCTCTCCACCAACTCTGTATCCCTCACTACAGACCTCTCCACCATCTGCATGGCTCGAGCTTCATTCATCCTATCCGTATGTTTCAACAATTTTCCCCCCAGGTAAGTACAAAATCAATTGTATATGTTGAGTGATGTGTGAGTACTTACATTGTTGTTAAGCAATAGTCAATCAATGTGAACGCCCCCGGTGCACAAGACCCGACTAACGGGACCCCAAATCCTGAAACGGTAATGTTTATGATGATAAAACTAATCCTTCAAGTTTGCAATATTCTAACTATCTTCTAGCCATCTGATACCATAACGAACGATCGATTCACCACGCTTGATGTCCTAATGTTTGTGAACACAGCTGCTATTGCATACCACCAAATTGGGAGGCTCCGGCCGATCCCTTGCCCATATGCAATAGCAGTTGTGTTCACAAATGTTAGGACATTACAAGTAGTAGTCCAAGCTATGCTACACCTCGCTGAGAGCTTACACAGTCTACATGACCTTAGGCTAACCAGATTGATAAGATCATGTTGAAACTTGTTTTCTACGACCATCATATCGAGGAAAATAAGACAAAAAGACAAGCCGAGATGGAGGGACGTCTTACCCAAAGGCAGATTGAGATGGAGGAAAGGCTCACCAGAGCAATACAAATTTCTGCTACCCAACTCAAATTAGAGTTGAAGCTTGGGGACCAAGAAAAAAATGTGTCTCACGGTGGCCGGAGCTGGTGGAATTGACGGGAGCGAATTTTGTTTTCTCATTGTTTTTCCCTTTTGTTTTCTCCTGTCTCCCCCCCTTCGTTTCCCCCTCTTGTTTCCCGCCCTTGTTTCCCGTCCTCGTTTCCCGCCCTTGTTTCCCCCTCTTGTTTCCCCCCTCGTTCAATAGCGCCTGGCATTAGAAGGGAGTTTTTTTATTTTTAGAAATTGGGGTAGAACTTAGAATAATTACTAGTATTAACTTAAAATCAGTCCATGACCAATTCAAATTAAAGGATTCTGATTACTATTGCATTTACGTTCTTGTTTTGATTGTATGGGAGGGGTTCTGCCATTGGAGTCCAACGTACAAGTACAAGTACCGTAAAATCTCTTGAAATCCACTATTCTCGGTAGCTCTATGATCTCTAGATTCTGAGTTAAAAGTTCTGGAGAAGGATTAGTGTTTTCCTAACAGGTATAGCCTGAGTCATTTGGCGGTATTGGGTCTTATTGACTGACTTTCGCTATTTGGTTAACCTGCCAACCCAGATCTACTTTGGACAAGGTCAAGATTTACAGGGATATTTTGACATGCCGTAGATGGTGGATTTTAAGAGATTTTACGGTACCGTAAGAACTCGTGAAATCCACTATCAGACTATTAGCGTGAATCAACCTGTATGCCTGTAATAGGTTTAGTCTAACAGGTTAACAGAATTGCGAATACAAGTACTTGTACGAGTACTAGTCAACAAGATCCAACGCGTCTAGTAGGCCGATCTTTCACCATATTAGGAAAAATTCTAATCCTTCATATGAGCTTCTAACTTAGAATCCGGAGATTAGGGGGCAAACGGAGATACTAGATTGCAAAAAGGACTTACGGGTACAGTACTGGTGGAGAAATGATGGAGATGCAAAGTAAACCAAGCAAAAATCTTGGAAATAGCATCAGCCAGTGACAACACAGCCCTGTTATCTTGACTCGTAGCATTATTGGCACTTGAAGAGCCTTTGCCCATAAATTTATGCCTGCCACGGCACAAAGTACTAAGTGCACAACCACTGCCATGCCAGAGCGTGGATGGAAAAAGGGATCCCAGAACACCCCAAAGAGGGATTTAAAGCATTGATTTTGGACACCGGCGTAAAATATCACTCGGTGGACCCGTTTACTATAATTGAAATCCGGAGTCAACCCTTATAGCATCTCATATTACCTACTACTATCTTTAATAGAGCATCAACAGCGATGGTAAATATATACGAGTTTCCGGGTCCAGTGCAGCCTCATAGATTCCAAGATTCCAGCATTCCATAACTAAGTTAGTCCGCATCCCAGAAATTGCTGTCATCCATACATTCTTAACATTCCCGCGATGGCAACCGTTCCCATAATACCGATACCGATGCCGGCCACTTCAATCACGGCGGAAGTGTGCTCTGGATAATGGTGTTGTAAATGAGGGTAAATAGGAGACAAATGTATACAGGTACAAGTGGCAGCAGGAATAACTTACATCCACAAACTCACGCAAGCCCAATAACGAAGCGGGAATTTTTTAGTTCTCGGTTTTTTTGTTTTTTGCCGCCTAGAGTGCCATACGCCCCCCCCACGACATTTCCTGTGGCAGGCTGCTTAAGGGTTAGGTAGTGAGGGCCGCTGAGTGGTATTGGTTCTCTCGGGGACATAGTAATGGGGGAGACAAATACTTGAGCGGTTTGGCTGGTGTTGGGCTTGCAAGGGTTCGAATCACACAATGCTACTATACTTCCGCCAGGAGTTCGTCGGGCATACTAGGGCCGGGTCGGGTCGCGTGAACCCCCCATGGCGCCTTCGAAGAGGGGTGGGAATGTAATTTTTAGACGTCCCTCACCAGGGGCGTGGTTGTATCCTCGGGAGTAGAGCTTACCACGAACTTCTCCGATGGGTTATACCTGGGTTCCCTAGGATTGAAGGTGTGATCTCTTTGGTGGAAAAATTTAGCCTTGTTCGGAATACGGTACCGGACTTTCCCGTCTCCGTTTAGCTGGCTGAAATGTGAATGGATAGGTTCTTCCCCTACGAGTAGCGGGAGGCGTGGATAGGCTAATTTCGAGCTCCGGGGGAATCTGTGTAAGCTTTATGGCGGACATACTCGGAGGTCCGGATACGCGCCGGGCTTCCGGACGTAAATCCTTTGCCATCAGCACCGTTCGAGTGCCGCAAGTGCACGCTCCTATGCCTCTGGATTAGAATTGAACAAAACCGTTAGAGATCTATATCATACATATCCCCCCCCCTATCTACGATAAGGTGGCAAAAGCTCGGAGGGTGGGATACATTGCACCAGAAGTGATCATTTCCAGAGACTCACACCTCGGCTCTGCCAGGGTAAGAGATTTCGAGAAGCTGTAAGAATCATGAGAACATACATTTTGTGTAGAGAAGTAAAGGGCCTGGGGATTGATAACCGGTGATGTTTTATGCTATGGTGCGGTAAGATCGGAGGCATTGTATGGGGACGCTGTGTAGACAAAAGGTACATGATAACTGCCTCTACCCGCCGTGATCAGTGGTGTCTCAATCCCGTAAAACTTCCGTTCAATTTTCCTTGTTGTAAACTGCTCTCTACATGTTTTCAGTTTGGTTCGGCCTGAAACCGGTTCGGTTTTTTATGTCCTGATAGAGCACATTGGAAACGACGAATAGAAGGAGTTCAATGAGAAAAAGGAAAGAGGGAGGGTTCTGGGGTCTCCCATTCTCCACTCCGTCTTCGAGAATCGCTCGGACAGGGGGGATAGAAAAATAAACCCCCTCCAATAGCTTGCTGGTTTTTGGCCAAAAAAGAGGGGAGAATGAGAGAAAGCACAACCCAATCAATGCTACGACAAGTATATCCAAAACTAGCGCCTGAATCCCCTCCCTCCTTTCCTCCTGAACAAAGGAAGAAAGGACAGCCTCAGGGAAGCTCCTTCTCCACCAAGCTCCCATGCTCGCCCTCCTCTCCATCACCCCTTCCACCCCGTGCCTCACTCGAGAACTTTCCCTTCAATACAAACACCTTCTCGCATAGGAATAGCCTCAGCCAAATGATCAGCCAGATGATAACAAACACCACGCAAATCGCTGCGGCAATGCCGAAAGCGTACGCGGCGACCATGCCGGAACCTTTCTTGCCCCGGTCGAGGAAGGAGTAGGTGTATAAGCCCTTGGTTGCCTTGGTAATGTAGGCGACACCCAGGTAGCCCGCTAGGATTAGGAACAGGAAGGGGACGTGTAGCCATGGCGAGCGCTCGGTGCGAGGGATGAGGACTTCGAAGATCGCGAAGACTGAGTTTAGGGTGTGGAAGGACACCTAGGAGGGTCAGCCTGGTTGGTTGGGATGGGGGTGGGGGTGGGGGAGGGGGGGAGATTACATTGCACCATGCTGAATATCTATTTCTGAATTGATTGTCATCTGGTGCCAGAATGACCCAGTATACCACAGTTCTAAAAACCACATAAAGTATTGCTCAGCGTGCATCCTTTCTTTTTCTTTTTCCGATTCCCCCCCACATTCCTCCCTGCATAGGTATTCCCGCGCCCATCTATTCATCCATCTGCACTCGTCTATCATTCCCCCTTCCAAAAAGGAACTCCTAACAAATAATAAAAATAAAAATAAAGCCAATACTCAGACCAAAAGCGGAAACGTAATAATAGTAGTATAAAGCAAACAGTGCAAAAACTGCAACACCTCCGGCCATCCCTCCAACGGAGCCCTCCCCCCAAAGGCGTAAACAAACGTGTGCACCGCCGCGACAGCAAAGTAGCAACCAAGCCCCCAGTACATCAAGTTTGTAAAGTACGAAAAGCTTTTCTGTGTCGAATGCGACCCGTCGATCACGGCTGAGCGAGCGATGTGGTAAAACAGAGTGGTGAAGATATAGTACGCGATTAGAAGCCGGGTGTAGGCGAGCACGACCGAGGAGAGAATGCTGCAGGTTTAGAAGCGATTCGTCGGATCGAAGGGGGAGCCCACACCGAGGAGCTTCATCGCGGCAGCTGCTGCCGAGTTTTTCCCTTGATTGGATTGGGTCAGCTGTACCTTGTCTGTTTGTTCAGTGATGACGATCTGCGGCTTGAAAGCTTGAACAAACTGGGTAGAAGGGGTGAGGGTGAGGTTGGTTGTGGGGTGATCGAATGGAATGTGGGGAAGGCGGGGAAAAAAGATATTCTAAGTTATCGTGGATCCTTCCTCCCCGAGCACTGGATGTACGGATGGGGGAAAGTAAGGTAATGTATGGAAGGGCGAGAGAGAGGGGGAGAGAGCTGAAGGCAACAGGTGGAAGTCAGTCAGTCACTCGGGGGATGAAAGTAGCAAAGTGCACTAAAACCTCAGGCTGAAAATTTGAAGCTATATCTGTAATAAAAATGATCGAAGAGGAAAGGAGCAAATTTGATTTGTTTCCAGCCATTGCCTGGGATGGAGGGGCCGAATTTCAATTACGTCTGCCCTATGGTGAGTACTCGAGCAGGAAAGAATGCAAGTACATACACTTCCACCGACCACAATAGCACAGAAAAGTATCAGTGGATCCACGTCCCTTACTCCATGTAGCGCATAACGTCAACCGCGCAAGAGGAACGACTGTTCCCACTTTCGGGAGAGCGTTGAACTAGTATAGGCTGTTATAGACTTCATTATTATTGGGCTATGGGTGGTGGATTGAATAAGCGTGGAGAGAGGTTCTCACCGAGAGAAAGCTTAAGTTTGGTATTTGACTGGGGGGGACGAATCTGCATGACATGGTGTAATCCGGTTTTGTAGGTTTCCGGGTTCTGGCTACATAGATCTGGAATGGCCAGATTTGGCACAATCGATTGCCGCGGTTTCTCAGACGGGTATATATGATATAGGCCTGAGTAGGCAGGCATTCGTCGGCTTTGCCTGTGGCTTAAAGCCGGCTTGTGGGCACGAGGAAGAGAAAGAGTGAGTGAGGGTTAGGTAGGGGACTTGCACCGTGCTTTCACAGGCCCCGCCGACGGTAAGAAGGGGAAAGGGGGGTGGAGTGCTGCTCCGTTTCGACAGGATAGAGAGATTGAGATACTACTGAATATATGGCATAAATTATGCGATGCTCAAAAACCCATGGAAAGGGTATTGTAAGCCCAAGGACCCGAGAAACTTTACTCCAAAAGATTCTCCGCCCTCTCCGGGGGGGTGGCGCTAATGCCATTACACCTCACCAAGTGCATCTTCACGAACACTCACTCTGTCCTCTGCCCTTCTTGAAACGCCCCTCAACCATATATGATACGCAAACCCCAACTCCATATACCAAGACACCCTTTGGTATGATATCTCAACATTAGTCCCTCCTATCCCATTTCTCCCCTTCCCCCACCACCTTCCCACAACAAACAACAACAGATTGACACAAAACGAAACACAACACAAAAACCAACCCCCTTACGTCGACAAAAGGGAACTACCGCAAAAATGTCGGACCAACGGTCTGTCACCACTACTGGCGCTGCACCACTACAGCCGGTGACCCTACCAGCCACTATCAGCCCCGCCACCGAAACTCTGGCCGTAACCCCCCTCTCCCCGACCCCACTGTCAACCCTCTCCAATGCATTCACAACTCTAGAGCTCGAAATAGCCCACCACGAAAACACCCTCTACAATATCCAAACCACCCTCACCACCACCCTCCCCGCGACCTAGCAAATAACCCTGAACATCCTTAGCACGATTGAAAATGCGGCGGAGGACCTCTGGTCGCTGAAACAGTAATACGAGCGTGCGAACGTAGCACTCCTACGTCTTCGTCTCGACGACGTCAGCCCGAACGGCAGCAGCAACAGCAGCAACAGCGATGGTGAGCACAACAATAATGACGAGGAACTGGACCAGATGAAGAAGGTCGCCGAAATAATTTCAAAGACCCTGGAGTGGGCCGAGGAGTTCAGGATGGAGCTTGCTAGAGGGACCGACGCGGTATACTTCGCCGTCGGGGACTTGGAAGGGATCGAGGTTGGGGATGCGGACGGGGAGTTGGAGGTTGTCAGAGGCGGAAGGGGTGAATTGGGCGTTGTCTGTGCAAATGGTGTAGCCACGGTAGGGGGGTTCGTCGAGTGTTTATGGGATGATGGGGGAAGTGATGAGACGGCAGCAGATGACGCTTTGTGGGATACCGGGGATAATACTGCCAATACGATCTGAGTGGACTCACGAACCCACGGCAGTAATGTGGGACGCATAGGTGGACTGGACTATCGACCTTTTTTTTCCTACTGTTTACATTTCTTAAATCACATATTTTAATACCACCGGGCTCAAACTCCACTTTCTAAAACCAATTTTGGGATGTTGGGTGGTGGGGAAATTGTTGGAGGGGTTGGAAGTTTGCTTGCTTGCTAGCTTGCTTAGAGGGGGGAAGGTGATGGGGTGTATTGTATAGATAACCCATAGGGGTATCAGGGCATTAGGGTATAGCAGAAGGGCGAAAAAGCAAAAGGTACAGTAGAGCACGGTAGGAGTGTATACACTCCTTCTATACTGAGCATTTTTCTCACTACAATAGCCTCCTGACCGCCTGAAGCAACCTCCTCCCCCCCCCTCATCTCCCCGAGTTGGATCATGATATCATCCAGGGTTTCTCTCTTCGGCCTACTCAAGCCTTTAAAATTTAGCCCCCTTTCCTCCATTGTCCCTACGACACATGTAAAGCCGTAAAGGTCTTTTTCGTATCGCCGGTCATACCAAGCCCCCCCTTTGTGATTGCCAAATCGACCAACGTTGCAACAGGCATCCCATCAATGAGGTTGTATTCACTGCACTCAGGCAGCGATCCGGTTTCGCCGGTCTTATCCAAGAAGTCGATCGTGATGCAAAATCCCCGGGGGGAGTCGTAACTCCATTCGCCGAACATTGTTTTGGAAAAACGGGGGTCTCTCTTTGCGATGGTTTCCAATTTGTGCAAAGAATCGGGTGTGATGGCCAGGTCCGTGTCTTCTGTAATGATAGGATAGCCGTGAAGGGGGAGAGGAGCACCCCCGACCACGACGAAGTTCTCTCGGTGCTCATCTCCTATCATGGCCCAGACCTCCTTGGCGACTTCCATTGAAGCCAATTGAACCGGTCTCAAGTCTCCAGACACGACGAATGGTGAGGGGGCCGTTCTTCCACGGTTGGTAGTCATATTGAAAAGATTTGATTGATGTTGAGAGTTGTGAACGCAGTGGGAATTGGGAGAGTGGTTCTTTGCTTGGTGTTTCTTTCACGTCTACCTGGATCGATCAGGGAATGAGATGGCTCCTACACAGGACTGGTAAACGTGTGCCCGTCATTGGCCTCGTATGCATTTCACTATAGTGGTGGAAGGTTTGAAATATAGTCGTAGCCCACTGGCGTTTCTTTGCTTGGTGTTTCTTTCGCGTCTACTTAGATCGATCAGGGAATGAGATGGCTCCTACATAGGACTGGTAAACATGTGTCCGTCATTGGCCTCGTATGCATTTTGCTATGGTGGTGGAAGGTTTGAAGTATAGTCGTAGCCCGCTGACGTTTGTAAAAACAACTCTGTCCGCATGCACCAGCATTTGATAGTTGAGGAAGTAGCATCGGTAGTAGGAACCCAGAAATATTAAAAATATAGCTAGAATATATGCCAGTAACTAGATCCCCTTACTAACGTGCTCTATAGCTCCTGGCTCATGATATTCACAAGAGATACTTGTCAAAAGGCGCAGGTGGAATCATGAAGTATCACTCGTTTCGCCCCCGCCAATAGGGGGTAGCAACCCAGCGTTCGATGGGATTGCAGTTTGCCAAGACACTTTCCTGGTGCTTACTCGTACCTAGTTGCTCCCGCTAGGAAGTTTATGCCGGTGTGATGTCATGTGACCAAAATAAATCGCTTAGTCGGAATGCAACCTGGCGACACCTTGATCCCACTCTACAACCATTAGTGTTCGTTACAGGGCGGGGCAGGGCGGGGTTTGCCCTCTTGGGCCCCACCATTACACGGGCCCAGGGGGGTATTGTGGCAGTCCTCCCCACCCCACCCCCGTCCAGGGCCCCACCCCGGTCTTTACCTGGACGGGGCCCCGCATCTTCCCACCTAAATTTGCCGGGGGCCCGTCTGGGGCATGGGTGGGGCGGGGCCCCCGGCGGGTGACGGGGCAGGGCCAGCCTCTAAAAATGCCCCGCCCCGGGCCGGTGAGCGGGCCGGGGCGGGGAATGGGGCCGGGGCCCGTGTTTTTCGGGGCCCCGGAGGCCCCGTAACGAACTCTAACAACCATTGATACTCTCACGACTCAAAAGCTCTCACTTCCCCCTACTCGAGCATACATACCACCGACTCTGAAAGAATGGCTGTGGCACGTGTACAGCAAACAGACGTCTTTCTAGCCCCAAGCACCCCCAAACAACTCAACATGAATTATTATCTCAATGAAGGGTTAGAAGATGTGGAGTGTTTGGAATATCATGATGTTCACTCACTTAAAAATGCAGTCAATTCACAAGTTCAAGCGTTATATTCCCCAGCCTATGAAGCTAACGACTCCAAATGCCTTACCCTATACCTAGTCTTTTTTCTGGTATCAGCACAACAACTCAAAAATATCGATCGTATTTGAAAGCACAACTACAAAACACTACGATTTCTCTATTTCAATGAATCAAGGGCTTTAATTGTTAAAAATATGCCTGGTCCCCTTTATGAACTAGTGGCACAAGAGTTTATTTATACCCTCTGAGACAAGATAAGAGTGGAAGGTTGCCAGTGAGAGGTTTCCTGTATGGGTAGTACAACCTACCAAGGGACAGGAAGTCGAAAGGAGGCCGATGCCTCACTAAGACTATTTAGGGCCTGCCCTGATCTGAACGATTGGCTGACAGTGATTTTGGAATGTGGTGTGTCTGAGACTCCCTGCCGCTTGGCGGTGGATGCATGGTGGTGGTTTAATTATTCGAACAGTGCCGTAAAGGTCATCTTTTTATTTTTTGTGTCCACCCAGAACAAGACAGTTGAGATTGAATTTTGGGATTTGACTGCTCATGAACATCCGAGTCCACATATAGATAGTTGACTCCTTAAATATTTATTGACGGATTGAATCAACTTGGTCAAGAAATTCACATTTGTCAAACTCATCGCATCCTATCCAAGTGGTAGTCTCCACTGCCTCTGCATGATAATGTTTATATAGTTGAAATACTACCATATCTAATGGTTGCAGAAGGTGGCTGAAATGAGCAGAAAGGCAGAAAACAATTATCTTATGCTTATCACAATAGTTGAGAAATGGTTTTGTGCAATGGGAGCCAAAGGCATCAAGGAGTAACAGTCAGTAGCTTTCTACTTGCCGCTTTGAAGAGAATCATTCAAAATGGCTAAGCCAGTTTAGAGTCAACACATTATTAATATAGCCAGTTTCTGACGTGCCAACAAGGTAATCATCTGGTATACTTGTAGCAGTATACCAGGACTCCTTGTAAATGACACCTGGCACAATAATTATCAAAGGCAAAATAGCTCCATTACTACTGATCGTTTTGCAAACTGTTACAAGTTCATGATTCATAGAACTAGCCAAGTAAGCCTGTCGGTTAGGATCATGTGTAATGATCCATTGATCACATCTAACACCAATTCAAAAGCCTGTTTCATCAAAGTTGTACTGGTCTGTTGGTTGAATATCATGTGATTGACAGATGGTAAGATATTTTTCTAATCAGGTTAGGATGTTCTTGAGTTGATGAGCATTTTTGTGATCAGCATCAATTGTTTGTTGCTTCTGAATAAAGTACTGAGGATAGTGACTGAGGAAACGTGATGCCCATTGGTTACTGACAACAGGAGCTGGCCCAGGATCTTCATGTGCATATTAGAGAATTGCATTTGCACAGCTCATAACCATTTGTAAGTGGGCGCTTGTACCGACTCTATCTAAACAGTCCAGATACTGGCAGACAGCAAGCTCTTGATCTTATAACAGCTTATGGTTTATTCCAGGCCAATCTTGGTATGATTGTTAACCTTGTAAATGTGCTCAAAGACGGCGAACTAGTATTTCGTACTGATGGGCAATGGCAGCCAGATTGGGATACTAGTTTTCACTGCTCTGAAGAAAGGCAATCGCAGCCTAGATTCATATCTCGATATCTCTATAAGGTTCAACTCGTTGGCTTGGTAGAATAAAGGCTGAAGCTGGTGGTATAATTTGTTATTTCTGAGCTGAATTGTTGATGAAGCAGAAGTATTTGAATTATTTACACACTGTTTATATGCAGCAAACTAATCTTAATTTACAAAGTTGTACTGAGCCACAAAGCACTGTTGAGCCACAAAGTTGCTGTGGTGAGCCACAAAGTACCATTGAGCCATAAAGTACCGTATTATCTGGCGATACTGGAAATCATGCTAAGATCTAGTGTTGCCATGTGGCCTAAGTGTGACATGAGGGGGGCTTAGCGAATATAAAAAAAGGGAAGCGAGTAACAATATCTGCTGGCGGAGTTAAATTACAAGACTCACTCTTCCATTGTTGAATTGCTTAATTCCTACACTATCACTGAATGTGTGTAGTGCAACCATGATGGCAACTCACCACTTTATCCCCGTCGGCGATAGCACCATTTCCAGTATCGCCAGATAATGCGGTACCATTGAGCTGTCAGGCACTCTTTAGAGTGCCCCCTGTTGTGAGCTTGCAAATATGTGGGGGTTGTGGTGGCCAGCCACAACCTTGGCACAAGTACCGCCAAGCGTATGGTATTCAAAAGGTTCTTTCATCCAAAAGATTTACCTCTAATATTCGTCATGAGCCCATGAGAGTGTACCGTAGCTTAGCAACGCCCCTATTTGACCAGCAAACCTCTCCTTCCCCTCTTTTCATTCTTCTTCCCAAATTTAACGAGATCGAGCACCACTTCAACAAACACCCCTTCATCAAGCGGATGCTTCTTTTCTCTTCATCAAGCGGACGTTCTCTTATCTTCTCTTATCCTCATCAAGCGGACGCCTCTTTTCTCTTTGTCTAGCGGACACTTCTCTTCGTCCAGCAAACTCTTCTCCCTTTCGGGTAAGTTGGACACATGTCTTTCACTTTACAAGACTGATAAAGCAATAGAATGCCTGTATTCTGACTCGGAGCTTCTGGAATGAAGGTTCTTACCTTCATAGGGGTCAAGGGGAAGCAATTGAGTGGTAAGTGTGTTTTGGATATTTACGGAGATACAGCCACTAAGTTTTGTGTATTTTACTCGCAGCGGGTACTGTACATACAGCATCTGCAGCAAGTAAAATATACAAAACCCAGGGGCTGTACCTCTGTATAGAAATTGGAAAGTGAGTTACAGGCTAGCCTAGCCTCGTGCATCCCAGACCTGGTGTGAAGTTCGTTACGGGGCCTCCGGGGCCCCGAAAACTATGGGTCCTTGCCCCCATTCCCCGCCCTGACCCGGCGTTTGGCCCGGGGCAGGGCGTATTTTCTCCTCCATTCCCTCCCCAGCCCAATACGGCCCCCCGCCCTGGCCACCCCCCTGTATGGGGCCCTGCTATTGCCCCCACCAAATTATATGGCTGGGAGCATAATTGGGGTCGCCCAGTAGCCCCCGTGGGGGGGGGGGGCGTGGGGCGGGGGACTCGGAGGGGGGAGATTGGCGGCGTCCCGTAGCTGTAACGAGGCAGGGAGAACTTGCGGAAACCCACCCTCCCCCACCCCGTAACGAACACTAACCTGGTGCGAAGGAACCACCGTACTTTGGTTGTGGCTTTCGCCCCATCACTTGTCGTCGTAGTTGATGCAAGGCTTAGTCGGAGGGATACTAAAAAAGATATTGAGAGCGTTCGGGAGGAGCTCAGTGCTTTTTGTGTTGCTATCGATGCCCACTTCGTTGCTATCGATGCCCGCTTCAATGAGGTGAACCAAAAACTGGGGGATCTCGCCAGTAGACTCAGCCTTATTGAGTATAAACAAAATTTTATGCAGGCATTTGCCCTGCAGGCTGCCGTGAAGACGATGAAGGTTCTTGATGGTAGCGGCAAGGAGGACCTAAAAGTTTTTATTAAGGATGGGGAGGAACTAATGAAATGCATGGAACGTGGGGGAGAAGGATGTGGGGAGAATGAAATATAAGTTATAGAGTTCAACTCTAAGTGGCATATATGCTGACTTTGATTCAGACAATAAATATTCTTAGTTCGATTGGGTGGGCGGGCGGGCATTTAGTCTTAGTTTAGTGGTTTACCTATTTTCTCATCAGATTGGCTATCTTCTGGCAGGGTTCTGATCTTTGCACAAAGGGGGCTATGGTCTCCTAGTGTTGAGGTCAGGGCCCTGCCCGCAGGTAGCCAGCCTGATGAGAAAATAGGTAAACCAAGAAAGAAAAAAAATCAACCTTTTTTAACCAGGCTCCCATACCGAATTTGTGCCGACAACTGTCTAAAAACCACCCAAGCAGTTATAGATACAAGTTTTACATGTATTTTCCACAGAGTAGGCGTCTAGCAAGTGACTAGTGATGAGGTGGTTAACTTATTTGCTCAAGAGGATCAAAAAAAGTATCAAAAATACTCCAAAGAGGCATCTAAGGCACCACATTTGGACCGCCGTGATGAAATATCACTCTAAAAACATGGGATGACCCCATGTGCGCCAAGGAACGCGACTTGGAAAGTGGTCTTGGCTCCGTTTGGCCACCATTCAAACCAGCTCTCCCATCCCATAGACCGCCTTTCTACGATGACCACAACCCCTCGCTTTTACGCGGAGCTCCTCGAAAACATCCAATCCATCACCATCTCTATCCACCTTCCCTCGCCCTCCAACTCCACCACAAGGCTCGACCTTGACTCTCCGTGTCTCATAAATCTCCATCATGATGGACGATCCACGCCCCTCACCCTCCCGGGAGATGTTACCCCAACTGCTGGTTTGGCCCTGCGTGCCTGCAAACCTGGAGAGCAAACGCTGTGCTACCGTCTCCCCGTTTCACCATCCAAACCTCCTTCAACAGCGACAGAGAATTACGTGCCCTGGGCGGCCATAGAATTGAACAAGGAGGCCGCTACTTTATTTAACTGCCGGGTATGCGGAGCCCAGGTAATTCCGGAGAATAGGATCAAGACCTGGAAGGATCTGCCTTCGGGTAATTGGGAGGAAATGATGGACTTTTGGCATTGCCATAGGCCGGACGAATCGCACTCACACCGTCACGTCGGCAAACCTCGCTACGCCCCATTACAACGGGGTTACGTCGCGGAGTCTGGAACTGCGTTGGTCGACCTGACCTATTTCTTGCTCGCCGAAGCAGACTGCTCCGAGGCCGTGGAAGTCGCCGAGGTGAATTATCCCCTTTTGACTTAGGTTTCATGTTTTACGTTTCCGGCGGATAGAAAGAAGGTCACTGGCCCATGGAAACGTGTTCAATGGCTGAGTGTATCGATACAAATATCCAAGATTGACCACCCTGCTCAGGATCATCTTGAACTCCGTCAGTGCGGGAAGTACCCTTGCTTCAGCGAGCAGTGGGTTTTCTTGCACTACGGGAGGAACATGTCCTGCACAGGGAGGATCGTCATGTTTCATATATTCGTGAGATCCTTAATAGTCTCTCAGTTTCAACACACCATGCTATAGAATCTGTCTTGTGTGGGAATTTAGACGAGATACATGCCTTCCCTTCGCCTTTACTTTCCTCGAGAATTAGCTAATTCGTAACAGCCTACATCAGAAATACAGGATCCCCATGTCCTACATTGCAAATCCTGTAAATCAACTCTTGGCATTGTGGACAAGAAATCATCGGGCGGTGATTCCTCTGGCGCTTCCAGAGGATGGACCCTTTACAAGTGGACCCTTTGTGACGGAAAGTCCAAAACATATCCCATCCGATGCTTCCTAGCGGCTCAGCTCGTTGACCTGGCAGAGAACAACGGTACCCGGCGTATCATATTTGCAGCCCAGGAGGTCAAACTAAGGGTATGGGTGTTTAGCACTAACACTCGCTATATCAGCTCCGACATTGGCCGAGTCATGCGTGCTGTTAAGGTCTTTTGGCAAGTCGGGGCGGGTGACAAAGGTGGCGTCATGAGCGCGGAGGGGTTTGAAGAGATTGCGATCCAGAAGCTACTCCTGGAGGAGTTGAAAGAGACGATCGAGCGGGGCGACCAGAAGTTCGGGGAATGGAATGTGGGAATGGTGGAGAGATTTGAGAGGTAGTCAGATGTCATATAACGTAAGTAGAAGCTGCATTTCACTTATAATGAAGCAAGTGACCCCTTCAAACATCGTGGAGTGCAATACCAGGGCGAAAAACTCCTCCTTGATGGCTGTTTCACACCAAAACCGAGCCCTCTTGACTAACCATCTCCCCGCCGCTAACGAGCCCGGGGGCTCCATCCTTGGCCAAACCAAGCCGGAGAGCACGTAGAGAGCAGTCTTCAGCAGAGAAAACTGCATAGTGGATTTATGGAATCGAGAGGGCGCCGATAATCCAGAACAAAGGTGGTTGCCGTGCACATATGATACCTGAAAGGCTCCCCCAACGTCATACAATATCTCGGGTCACTCAGATCCTACCCCACCATAGCACACAAAACATCACAAGTCACCAATCCACAGCCGCTATGCCCCCGCTATGGAACGAAGCACTTCTCACGATTCTCACAGCCCCCCCCCAAAAAAAACATACAGAGGCAACATCAAGCTGTGAGTTTCCGAGTGTGGAATACTCGAGTACGATCGTGCCACACATCCAGCAGCCCCAAGTTCTTTTTTCCGATTTCTTTTTTCCGGGGTCTTTTTATCACTCAAAGCCCAAGTTACTCCTACTGAGATTGAAACCCGGGCAAACCATCACCACCAAAAGAAAGAAGAAAAAGCATACCCTAACAACGAGCATTCATCACCGGGGGCACTCGGCACAATGATGTTTGAACGGATTTTGCGTCCGGCGGTTCCTCGGATCTTTCCAAACCGCCGTTCCAAGCCTGCAGTTTGAGATAAAAAAAAGTCGGAACCATAGGTTAATAATAATTTCCCTCCTGCAGCCATTCCTGTACCACAGTAATTTCATGATATGATACCACATCATAATAAATCTCCGTTCCACGCTACTGATTACATTAGTAAAAATAAAAATTATCCACACCAGAAGCGAAGCCCAGACGGAAACCCCAGATTTTTTTAATATCACATCCTCCCGTTCCGATCCATCGATACTGTACAGTACTGTACCATGGATTTATGATATTAGCCAACTATTTTTCTTTTCTTTTCTTTTTCCTTCCTTTTTATTGGGGGGACCAGGAGCACAGTCCAGTCCAGAACAACACTATAAATAACCAAATATAAGATCGCCGTCATGCAAAAGCGAGCCTTCAATTTTAAGCCTCTACGGTAAATTATGCTGCAGTACCCGTACAGTACAGTACAGTACCGCACCGTTACAACTTACAAGTAACTAAATTTAGCTACATAAGTCTGCCTGCCTGCCTGCCTCTCTGTCCGTCATCGAGTTAGGCCTACCTACCCACCTCAACTCTTACCGAGTATGATAATTACCAGAAGGGTAAAGTAAGTTAGGCGGTACTTTAATATAATTGGTATCACCTTTGCAAAAAAAAACCGGATCAAGCTTTAATAGAGAAAAAGAGAGAAAAAGGGAGAAAGAAAGAAAGTGAAAAGTAGTATCATACATAGGCGCCCGGTTTTCCCCCCATATTATTCCGAAATCTTCCCCCCCCTAGCCCCTGCGCTAAGTTTGCCGATATGCTGTAGGTCAATTTTTCAATTTTTTAATTGTTCTTCGTGACTGACTGTAGGGGAATGAGTGGTCATGGGGTATCACTCGGTGCGGAGGTTTCTGTATGTGCATGTGCATATGCCTATGCATGCCCGCTCTCTGGAACGTCATCACTTGTGAAAGAAAAAAAAATTGTCTTCTGTGTTAAAAGTACATGCGAGTATCACGGTCTGTTTATTTATATTTATATATATACTTACCGTGACGCTCGTCTTCGTATTCGCGCATCCGGTATCACGACAAGTCGATGATTCACCAATCCAATCCAATCCATTCACCATGCAACATTAAAAATTCAATATAAATAATGCCCGACATCCACCATCCCGGAATCACTCTCATTCCCGGTCGAGAGAACGTCCCTCCTCCGGACGTGTTGGATATATCCATCACTTGTCGCTAATCCGAGAGATCCCGTCGACATGGAGAGAAGTGAACCTGTCGTGGGCTGGCTGGCGGGGTTTCGTTCCCGTTCGATAATAATCTGACTGTAGATCTATAAAAGAGGTTTGTAAAGTACATACTGAACAGAATACTTGAATGCGGTTGTTGGGTTTGTTTTTGATCGGGTTTACTTTTTTTTCTTTTTTCGGGCAGGGCTTTTGGAATGGACATGCGGTGTAGGATTGATCTCGCTCTGTGTGTAATGTGTGTGTGGTGGCATGGCATACCAACGTAACGCTGGAAGCTGTGTGATGGAAGAGTAGTGCTATGATTGACAAGTATGGTACATATAGTATACACTGATAGGGGTATGATATTATGATGAAAACTCTGGTGGGCAACCGGTATTCCTAGGCCTAGCCCTAGCCCTAGACCCCGCAGGGAGGGGGATTTAACTACTATCGTTATTATTAAGAAGTTTGAACCCTGGGACATCCCGGCCACTTGGCGCAGCAGGAGAGTTGGAATTTTCGATTAGTGAACTGGAAGTAAGTGCGGAGCACACTGGGTTGATATGAAGGTGGTATGATACCAGATTGAATGTCTTGTAATCGTAACTGCTCTATCATACTCCCGGAGGGCTGGAGGGTAGGTGATCATTTGCGGTCACTCGGTCTCGTGACTTGGTGATGGGGTTTAGGAATGGATGGACTGGGAGATGAAATTCATGTCGTAAAGTCATCTATATCATGCGTGGCGTATCACAATTCGTTCTATTGTGTGTAACTATATGTCTACCCTCCAGCTTCAACTCAGAAAGCAGCTGTTTCCCCCCCCCCCCTCCCACATACACATACTAGTGTTTCCTGCTTCCCCTCCAGCTTCCAGGAATCCTATATCGGAGGAAATAAAGATAAAAAAGCAGTGGGCATATATATAACCACTCCGCACAACCACCCACCAACCACTGAAATCTTGAGCACTGTTCATACCATCGGTACGAGCAACTCGAGGTCTGGTAATGATTAGGAATCCTTGGGAGTAAAGTGGCAGCAGTCCGTGAGCATTCCGCATAACCCCAGTTGGAAAAGACCCCCCTCGAGCAACCGGCCAAGTTAGACAAATTGGGTACATATATACTCACCTTCACCCAGATCTAGACCATAGCAGTGCAGAGCGATAGACTGCTTGAGAGTTTACTTAAAATCCCTAGAATATTATAGCGGGAAGGGGTACCGTACATGGCTACTACTAGGAAAAAGGGGGGGGGAAAACCTGCCGGGAAGGAACATGGAGTGGGAGATATTATGTGGATGGGGTGAGTATTCGGAACCCGAAGCCGGAGATATAGCTGTTACGTAGGAAAGGCCGTACGTTAATTCCAGGAAATGAGTGATTAAGCTATGATACCACACCTCTACCGTCCGGTGCTATACCAATAACAGGGAGGAAAGAAGGAAGAAGCCTGAGGATTTACCACTTGAGCACGATACAATCCACCAAATCCAGGAACCAACTCCCCCACTTGCACTCACAACACGCCAACTCAACCATACCAGATAAACAGACGTAAATCCAGCAGACAGACAGAACAGACAGACAGACAAGTCTTGACGTAGGCAAGGAACAAGCAATACATAACCCCGCACCGCTAGATTTCAAGAAAAATGCTAGATATTTGGATTGCTCTCCGATTAACCATTCCCTAGTATCATATACAGTACAGTACAGCACGGCATTTACACCTCTACATTATTCATGTCCACGCACCTCTTCAATACCCAAAGGCCAGGCAGGACGTTCCAACCCCGTTATCCGCCATAGGGCAAAGAGGAAGAATGATGCAGGACCAGATTCCTGAGGAGCGAGGGGCGTGAAAAAAACAGGACTATTTGAGTTTGTCATATCATACTATATTATATCTAACTTAGTTTCGTACTGTCTAAGCAATAGGAAACCACTATAGGTACCGGAATGGATCATCAACACAAACTGCTATTTTCCGCTGCCCCGAACCCGCGATCAAAGCGTGCGGGCCGGCTCGTGAGAGCGGTTGTTTCCCATCTTATCAACCTCGCTCCCGCACAAGAATGGAAAAGTGGATATGGCTGTCATCCGGTTTTCACAGTCGGGACGGATCACACACACCGATTAACTTTACCTTTGTATCATACTCGAGTATGATATGGCGCCAGACACCCGGACCGGCCGCCATTTCAAAATGTAACGCCTTATCTGATCAGGCTTAAGGGCATGATAGCATTTGATAGGATGAATCGCTTCTGGGGTGCGGAGGTTCAACTCCCCGATCAGGATATATCCGTGCAGTATTTTTATCTTTGTTGTTATCAATCTGCTAGGCTTAATGAGCATGATATGTATTGACTTTCACAATGTGCCGGTATATGACAAGTTAAGTATCAGGAAGATATATGGCAAATTATACTTCAACCAGTTTATTTTGGTCAATGTTATTTACATGGTGATGTGGTCATATCGTATATGGGACTAAATTATCTTGGATTAACTGGGGCTGGAGAAAGGTGATTTGGGCGAATTGGGATTTTTAGTATTGTATTTGGGACTGCCTATAGGTCCTGTTGGCCACCGAACTTTCAATTTGGAATTTCAAATTCATTGTAACTGCGGGGAGAATATAGCGGAAGATTTATAGGGGAGAGGCAATAAAGTGGAGATTTACAGAGCGTTTTAGTTAGTCTGATAGTATGCATAATCAGATCAAAATATTTAGTTGTCGTTTGTCGGAGATAGGAAGTAATCTAACAGTGTAGACATATCTAGGAATTGAACCCTGTATGCCTCAAAGCCAATTCCTCCTATTAAATACCCTTAACCCTGATTGCATAAGGTATTGCATTTGGAAACGGCCGTTGGTCCACCTTTTGGGTGTTTGGCACCACATAGGTGAATATTCACATTTACCAACTTTTGAATCTACCCATAGTATTGTAACCCTAAGCTCCTAAACCATCTATAAGGAAGCGCATCCGCCAAAGGATACTCTACGGGAGCCACCGTTAAAGCACACCAACTTTCGGCATATGAACCGACCATCTCAAAACTAAACAGTCCTTATGTCCAAACTATTCTAGTAGAAACTCCCATCATATCCACCTACCAATACACATCTATCATCATTGAACCTTCTTCCATCCCTGAACACCTTTGATCCGCTGACTCTCAACAGCATACATGAACCCTCCGCCAAAAACCACCACCGCGCCAATCACAACGCCCCAATTCAAGGTGTTTCCAAACAACCAAATGCTCAGCAGTAAACTCACAAGCTTCCTAATGTTGAGAACTATTGTCACCGTCAGTGCTGAGGACCGGGAAGCAAGGACGTTGACGCCGCGGACGCAGACATAGTGTGTGGCAGCGTTGAGGAGCAGGAAGAGCACTTGTCGGGGTATCTGAATCCGCGACACCTGCGGGAATTGGGATGCCGGGAGAGGCAGTGGTGGCGATTCGAGGAGCTTGTGGTACTGGGTCCGGATGGAGGGGATGAAGGGGATGAAGAGGAATAAGGAGAGGAAGTGCTTGGATCGTGTTAGCTTAACAATACCCAAGAGAAGCGGAGGACAAGGAGGCGGGGTAATCACAGAGTAGAATAGCCCCTCCCGGTAATGGTTTCCATAGCGGGTGTATGTCCCTTCAACGTACAATCCCATGAGCGCCGAGATCACTTGCGCGACGAATAATATGGCAAGACCCGTGATGAACCTCGTCATTGATTCTTCGGATTGTCCCTACGTAACCATTGTCGGCAGCTGTTTTCCAAACGGGAGAGCCCACTTACGACTCCCTTGGAATCCCCCCATGCCGAGAGGACAATGCCCACAGTCAGTGTCAACACGGAGAAAACCTGGGCTCTACTGTATCTGCCCTCTCCCGCACTCTATCAGCACCTCAACCTCCACCCCCTCGCCCAATCCGGGTATGTTGAATAACTACCGTTTGCCCCACAGCCACCCAATGGCCAAAGTGGTCATACTCCCCCCACTCCTGAGGATAATATGCACGGGCACAGAAATGCTATACCCGAACGCATAGTTGTTCAATATGGACACGGAAAAGTACAACAATATTTGAACCAACCACCGGTGGATGGGAATCTGATTCGGCTTCAACAAGGTTTTGGAGCTAGCGTCGAAATGGTAAATCAAGCCTTCAACCGCAACGAACAGGAACTGCGCGAACGTGAGAAGGTGACCCGTTTGCGGTTCCGCCCTTCACAAATCAGCACTCGTACCCAAACATGGCCAATTTCCTCCAAACCAGGGGCGCGGGGGAGGGCCCGGAAGGGGAAGGCTTATATACTTCACTATAGCTTCGAGCACAAATACCTTTCCTCATGACTCTGTCTCAGCAATTGGCTCAACACGCACAAACTAATACCCCAGGTATCCTCAACCCTAACACCAGTGCCCCTCCACCCGGACGCCTCCACCCGCCCCCAGCACAGAGCGGCTTTCCTGCCATCGAGAGGATTCCTGCTTACGTTCGAACAACACCCGCCAAATATCAGGCCGATCATAACGGCAGTCTGAACCCACATGGGGATCGTCGCCTGCGCGATTGCGCTTATTGCGCTTCGGGTCGGGGGCATTCGGCCCTCCAGGTGCGGTCTCGCATCGATTTTGTTGATCTCGGTGGCGCCTTCCGAGGCGCTTTTTCGGCGTTGAGCTCCCCGGGCCATTCTGAACCGTCGTCGTTGTTGTCGTCGCTGTCGTTCGTTATTCCGTCGCCGTCTTCTGTGTCGTCCGCTGGAACCAATTCACGTTAATATAGTGTCACCGTACAATGATAAATGTAGGAAAAAGCGGATTCTAGAACCGCCGATACTATAGCCCGCAGAGCGATAATTTGGGGAAGGAGAAGGGTCCAAAGGAAAAAAAAGAAATGTAGAGAGAAAGCAGGGAAGAGACCAACCTTTAAAGAGAAGGTTCGATGGAGTGCAGCAGCATAGGGGGGGAAAAATGTCAAGATGACAAGAGAGAAAGGACAACTCAGCCTTTTTGTTCGATAGCAGGGATGCGCTGGATCGTGCCGGGCCGTGATCAAGTGAACCAGCACTCCGGACCGCCAATCCGTTCATTTTTATTTTCGTTTTCACCTTACCTCAGGGCCGGGGTACTTGCACTGCGCTCCACCGCACTCGTACCTTGCAAGCCCACAAAGTGCTGCCAGCTGCTGTTGCCGTTGCATAGCATCCTCCCCACCACCACCACGGTCACTGTGCCCGAGTACTTCCACAGTCGCCCACCACCACTACTCCTCCTACTTGTACCGTACTCGAGTACAGTAACTCCTTGTCTCTCCTCGCCTTTGCTGCACCCCCCCTCCCAAAAGGATTCTCAGGAACCCGTTCCCGCTCCAATTCTTGGCCTCGCTTATCGCCCGCCCCCCGGAAATAAGCCACCAGCCAGCTAAACACTGGCCGAGGTGTCATCTTTTTTCTTCTTTTCTTTTTGTCTCTTTTCCTACTTTCTTTTTCCCTCCGGTCCAGGAGTAAAAATAGCAAATAAGAACGAAAACCCCCACCGATCCGCGGAGAAAGTCGTTCGGGAACAATGGCTTCCGGGGGTCCCAATGGTGGTGGTGGTAGTGGAGCCGGGGCCGAAGGAGGAGGGAGTCCACTGGGAGTGTTGAATAGGGAGGAATTGGTTTATACCAGATGGTGAGTTTGGCGGAAGCACAGTACGAAGCTGGGATGTCTTGGCATAAGCATGTTGACAGCTGTTTGGTGGGTCGAAATATGGGGTGTAATAGTTATTGCGAGGAGAACATCTACTGTCTGGTTCGGGATCGAGTGCCCTCCGACTCCCGGAAGTACTTTACTGTAGCATTCGTCTCAAACGCCATGAAAAGTAAATACTTCCGTCCCCTCCCATCTTCCCATATCCCTCCTTCAATAGTTTCCATGGCACCATAACAGACTAACCTAACAATCCCCCCCCTCCTCCACCGCCACCATAGCGATACCACTATTCTACCAAAAGGTACAACAGCCAACCAACCAGCCATCAACACGCGTGCAAAAAAAAAGGTACCACAATTAACAAAAAAACCCCAGGCATCAAAACACCCCCCCTCCCAGTAACCTGGGACTATCACGTCCTCCTGATCCACCATCCTCCCTCCGCTCTGGCCACCATATACGACTTTGACACGACCCTCCCTTTCCCATGCCCCTTTGCCGAATACTACACCAAAACCCTCTACGGGCCGGCCGAGTGGGAAGAGTATGGAGAGATGTTGGATCCCGTGCAGGTTAGAGCCTACGTCGCGAACCGGCCGAGGTTCTTCAGGCTCGTCGGCGCGAGTGAGTACCTGAGGACGTTCGCTAGCACCAGGAAGCACATGATGAATCCGGGAGGGATGGAGGGTATGTGGTTGGCGGATCCTCCCGTCTATCCACCAATCACGTGTGAGATGGGGGAGGATACGTTGCACATGTTTTTGGACTTTGGTGCATCGGGGAGTGGGGGTGGGGGTGGGTGGGGGAGGATTGTGGATGAGGTGGCGTTCTGGAGTGAGTTTGCTGGTGAGGTGGACGGGATCAAAGTAGAGGAGGAGGGGGAGGAGGAAGTGAGAGTCCATTGCTAGCCAGTGGACTTTTTTCTCTCTTTCTCCTCTCCAGCCTTTGAAGCGTTGTACTCTAGTTTATATCGTTATCCATATTACGGTACTGCTCTTCGCCTCGGGCATTCGACTCTTAACTCTGATAATTGCCCCTAATGGGGCGAACCTTTACTAATCCCCCAAGCGCAAATTAACGTCTCGAGTGATATCACATGATTAAGTATTCTTGCACTAACTATCCAATACTACTACACTAGCCAGAGGAGCAAACTCTTACTATAAGGAAAAGGGGGGGGGGAGTAAAAATAAAACAAAAAATACAAGGAAGCCATATTACGCCCAAGGAAAAGTAACAATAAACTCGTACTACTAAAACAAAAGCCCAGCAACACAGGTAGCAGCATCGTACACTCCCTTCTCTCTAACCAGCGAATCAAATGCTCCGCCAAGTTTGGAGAAGCTATTCAGTTCATCCGCCTCTTTCACTGTAGACCAACCCGTCAGTGTCGTTTCCCCTTCCTGACCAAGTCGCAGAGGGAGGAGGGAGAACTTACGATGGCTGGGTAACCTAACATCCGCCGAGATCACACTCTCAGCCTCACCGGTTACGTCGAACTCTATGCGCCATTCCAGAACCAACTCTACCCCACTTTCCCCCATGTCTGGTCCACCGCGCCGACCGGCTTCGGCGGGCTTTGTGCGGGGGTGGAAGCACAGGAGCGATTCGCCCAGGTACGGGATTATCTCCCTTCTGGAAACCTTGCCCTTCTCCCTCTTGCTTGTGGCGAGAACTGGGAGAAGGTGCGGGAATGCAGCGCTGAGCTTCGCAAACACACTCGCCCGGGCTTTGGCTATGAGTGTGTAGGTTGATATGGCATGGAAGACGGTGGGTATGTCGCCCTCTTCAACGGCAGTGGTCAACACGGGGGTTAGCTCGCGGACGGACCAAGGTGAGATGCGGTAGGTGATTTCTTGAACGGTGGCGGATTGGACGCTGAGGGATACAGTAAAGTATAATAGGCGGTTGGAGGTATAGCCAGATGCCGTGATAATTTGGCTTACGGGCGTGGATGGGATGATTTCGGAACTGTGCGTTGTGAAAGTGATGCTTGTGAAGGCTTTTAGCTGGGGAAGAGGATCGTCTGGTTCCATTGGCCTCGCCGAGGGAACTGGCTCTTCTCTCTGCATTGGCTCCGGTATCGGCACCACTTGGGAAGCATCATTCACAGCTAGTAATCGCTTTCTACAATTCCATCAGCAGGTCCAGACAATCGCGAAGACGAAAAAACGTACACTAAAGCATCAGTACCCTGATCTAAATTCCTTGCAGCCTGAGTCTCCCTCTCAACCCTCGCCTTCTCGATCCTAACCTCCTCCTGAAGCTCCATAATCTCCGCCTGCAAAACATGCACCCTCGACATCATGATCTTCTCCAATCTTTCCTTCTCGACTCGTTGCTTCGCCTCCACTTCCGTCTCTGGCCGTTTCCTCTTACTCCTCTGCTGCTGCTGCTGCTGCTGCCGGGCCTGCGATGCCCCCTTGCGCACCTTACTCGTCTTCATAGCAAACGCTGGCTCTGGCGATTTTACATCCTCCATGCCCCCTTCCTCCTGTAGAATCCCCAACTCACTCTTCTCCGGGGAATCCTCACTGGGGGGAACACTGGGCGCAGGAGGGTTCGAAAAACTACTTCTGCGTCTGGCAGGACTAGATGACAATCTCGAACCACCCGCACGTCTGATACCCGCGCCAACGCTCTCACTCCTAGCCCTCCCACCGAGTACCGCTCCCGCCCCTCCGCTGCCGATGCCGAAATTTAGTCTCCCCGCGCTGTTAGTCTCGTCCTGCGAGGCGCTGACAAACCGCTTCTTCACGGGCTCCGCGTAGGGTGAGCGGCGGGCGTGCTGGGGGTTGCGCTTCGCTAAGGATCTAGTGGGCGATCGGTATAACGCGCTAGAGTCATTTCGTACGGGGAGTTTTGATGGGCTGGCGGAGCGGTGGAAAGGCAAGGCGGGTGAATCGGAGAGTTTTGGACGCTTGGGTGGGGAAGCCATTGTCATCTTCTGCTATTGGGATTAATACTAATTGGTGTTGTTATTGCTGCCGGGTGTAGTTGGCGATGGTGGAGATTGGGGG